GGTCGGGCAGCGGCAGCCACTTGCTAGAGTGCGGGAGCCTTCGGGACGCGCGGTCCAACGGGGAGGCGCCGGCCGTGGACGTGGTGCCGGCCGACCTGGCCCACGCGCAGCAGCAGCAGGTACTGTGCCGGGAGCCGGGCGCGGAGGGTGGCGGGTGCCCGCTCCACCGCTTGGTTTGACGCTTGGCCGCTGTGAGTGGCTCATTTTCACTCAACTATCTGACTGTCCGCAGCGTCTTTTAAGCCAGCAGCGTGCGAGGGTCCCAGGGCCTGGCGTAAGAGATGAACTCCCACGCCCCTGGGAGTTGGAAGTCTTGGGGGTGGGGGTGGAGGGTGAGACAGAGAGGACCCTGGCCACGCCCTCGGAGGCCCGGGGCGGCAGCATACCGGGAGTAAAGTGCGCCTTTGGAAAAGGGGTGCACGATGCCTAATGAAAAAGAAATGGCTAACCGACTTATGAAGCCTTATGAAGAAGGAATACAAATAAGAGGAAGAAGTAAGAGGAAAATCAGGGCTTTATAAGAGAAAAATAAAGTGAATAAAAGTAGAAACAGAAGTACAGGCAGAACTGGGTAAATAACAGGCCAGACAGCAGCACACAGGATCGGGGTGAGACGCGGCCCGGCTGCGGGGGGCTGCTGCTGGCACACGTGGCTGCTGGGATGGGCTGGTCCTGTTAGCGCCTTAGATCCTCTCCTTTGGTGGCTGCCAACACGCACACACATTGGACGCACTCATCCCTGCTGTATTCTTCGTGGGCTGTGCGTGGGTCCTTGTGAGTGGCGGGTGAACTATTCCCAAAGGTGGCCCGGAAGCCGGGGCTGTGGCTGAAGTGCGGATGCAAATGCAGATGAGGAGCTGCCTTCGCCTGCCGGCGCGTTGTCCCAGCCGCTCTTGGAGTCCGGATATGTTACTAGTTTTGTTAGTGATACGGATGGTCCTTGTTCCATGTTAGTCCTTGACTCAATGTGCAGTACATAGTTACAGTGCCACTTGGAGAAAAGGTGAGAAAAAGAATGATGCCTTGTGGGCCTTTCTAACAGAAACAGGAATTGTGGGGGGCGGGGGGGGAGTAGCACGCCTCCCAGACATTCCCCTGGACCCCCTGCCAGAGAAGCGTGGCGATGTCGCCAGATTGTATTCTCTTCTTGCTCAGAATTTTTGAAAATATGAGGAGTCATTCGATCGCTGGTCTATTCGAAATTGGTGGAACCCACAGAACACGGAACCTTCAGAGAGAAGGAAAGGGAAACTCAGAGACCAGGTTACGTCTTAGCCGAGGCTCAGTCCCTGACGGTCTCCTGTCGGCAGCCCCGCCCCAACGCACCTGCGCCGGCAGCCCGGCAGCTGGGGCTCGGTTTGCTGTGGAGAGACGGTGTGCGTGTCTGTTAGTCCAGGCGGCCTGTCCTAAGCCATGAGACCATTAGAGCGCTCGGTCCGGGGGAAGGACCCACGTGTGTGTGCCTGTGCTGGCGTGTGTGGTAACAGGTGGGCGTGCTCTCTATTGGGATAAAGGACTGGTGTTTGGGTGCCACTCTCTGTGCCCTCCCTGCAGAGGCCATTCTCCCTGCAGAGCCAGCCTCAGTGCTTCTCCCTGGAGGAGTGGGGGTGGGGCGGTTGACCAGTGTGTGGTATGAAGCCCAAGTAATCAGTGTTTAACCCACATTAATTAAATAAATGGAAAATTAACTTCTGAATTTTATTTGAAGAACTTAAAATCATTCACTATCTCAAAGTAGTAAGTCAGCCAAAAACTTTACATATATACCACACACACACACACACACACACACACACACACTCCCCTCATAACAACCATGACAAATTAACCTCACAGAAAAAAGTTATAACAACATCTTCCTTAAAACACATCACTAGCAGAGTTAGTTATCACATCTCCCCTTCTTATTTTGTTTGTAACCACTTTGGAAAAGATATCAAATAAAGGTCAATGCCTTTTGATTCTACTTCAGAATTATTTTTTAATATTTTTATAACTGTTTGGTTTCTGTTTGCCATGGACGTGTCTTTGGATGAAAGAAAGCAGTTGGGTCTCTCACTGCGGCTCTCGCCTCACACACTGTGGCGGGCAGGCCTGTCTGGGCTTCTGAAATAAAGCACTGACAGCTGGCTCACTCCCCTAAGTGCTCGAGGAGCCTTTGCCGGGCTGTTGGGGGAAAGAAGCTCGAGATGAAATAAGAAAACCTGCAGGATTGCTAACGTCCACAGCACTGGGTTATCGGAGTTTTCTTCCAACTGAAAACTGCAATAATTAAGCATTTTGGAGAAATCGAGTGTCAGCATGACGGACGGGGCTGTTTTCATCCTCTTTACTCTGCAGGTTCTTACTTGCAGTGAGAATTGCAGCAGTGAGAGAATCACAGCCATGCTGAATTCATTACCGCGGCAGCCACACAAAACCGCGGATAAGATTTCAATAACTGCAGGCCACAGTTGAGTAAACAGTTGCACTGAAATTTAATTCCTGTTGACTTTTCCCCCATTCCTCGCCAGGGGCACATTCTGATTCTGTAGTACAAAGACAACAGGGTTACAGCTTTGATTAATGTAGGACAGTGGGAGAGAATTAGAACTGGAAAATACGTTAGAAATCCGCGGAACAAAAAGCCGGGGCTGAAAACCCTGGGTGCAGAAGCGAGTTAATGATGATGTCTGTGAGCTGAATGGGCAGGGTGGCCTTGCACCACTGCAGCCATTCATGATCCGGGAGCACGTTCCTCCGGCCAGGATTTAGGGTAAAGACAGTCGAGCCCTTTTGCGTCTGATCCAGATGATGACAGGCAGCTGCAGGTGAGGAGGCCCCGCAGCAGCAGAGCAGGGCGCTCGCGGCCGTCCACGGTGGGGCCCTGGCTTCTCTGCTGGGTTTGATCTAATCGGTGACTAAATTGTGTCCAAATACAATTGTTTGTGTGTTTTTCTGATCACATAGCTGACAGCCTAGATAATGGGGGGAATCCGGCTTTTCCGTCTTCTCTTAAAAAAATCAGATCTGCTCCCCCTGAGCTGATGCTTCCACAGGGGCTGCAGTGGTTGGGAGAAGAATTGCTACTTGAGCCAGGGAGCCACAGCCCTCTCATCGGCCTTGGTTCCGCCCAGCAGCCTCGCCCCTTGGTGCCCTCCAGGCCGGGGAGCTGGCAGTTCTGGTCCGGGAGCTCCATCCTCACTCAGGAGCCAGGAGAGGCGCTCCTCAGCTGGAGGAGCCCCAGCGCCCGCCCAGCTGCCTCCCCCCTCCGACCAAATGCATTGTCTCTGTGATGTTTCAGCTCCACTTATATCTGGGCTGTAACACTATTACAACAATAGTTCTCTAATAACATAATTTGATAGAGTTTCTGAGCATTTTCTTTTAGCCATTGAGTAACTCTTTACCCAATCCCATCTCTGCTTTTTACTTCCCATTACGCTGCCCCATGTCTGGTCTGTGGAAGTTGTGTGCGGGCTGTGCACTCCTCCATTATGAAACTCAGCAACAAATACTATTACCGATTGCTGAAGTTTCTTCTTAAAGAAGGGATTTTAAAATGTCCAAAGCAATTTCGTAAACTGTGTGGATTAATGCATTTTAAAAGTCGCGAGTTTAGGGAGCAGAGTTTTATTTCCATGCTGCTCAGATGAGAGCGTCCAGATAAGCATATCACATAGAGCATAATGTTTAGGAGTTTTCCGTGTACAGCATGTGCAGCAGGTCAGTTAACTGAATGCAGCCTGGGAAATGTTTATTCAATAAAAATGCATAGCTGGTACATAAAACAGCGATTTCTTAACAAGATTCTATTTAATGACGGGTTTTTCAGATTTTTTGTGGGTTCCACCCGGCAGTTTTATTGTCTGCAAATCGGTACAGGGAGAGCTTCGGTCACTGGTTTTGAGGTGTGGCTGTCATTTTACATTTAGAGATAGTCTATAAGAAAGACATAAAAAGAAGGAGTTCTATGTGGAATTTAAACATGTATTATTTAGAGAGTGTGGATAAGCTGTATGTTTATTTCATATAATTTCTTTGATATTTGGCTTAAGGTGTTGGACCTTTTAGCCCAAAAGATAGTGGTACATGGTTTATGTTAATGTCAAAGAAAGAGACAGAATGTTGGATGACTATTGAGGAGGTAAGAGAGGTAGGAAGGATAGGGAGCTTTGAAAAATCATTAAAGAGAAGGAGTAGGATTCAGTGGGGAGGGGGAATCAATGGGGAGGGTATTCGGTGGGGAAGAGGATTCAGTGGGTTGAATTTTGCCCATGAAATGGAGGATGTAAGGCTTATTCATTACATGGGATGAGAGAAGCTCTGAGAAATGGGATACGTGTGACAGGACTCAAGAATAGAGCTTGTTGCGTAAGTTCAAAGGGGATGTCGAGAACACACTGTCAGAGCAGCCAGGAGAACCCTGAGTGTATATCCGGGGGTTCTCTGGATGTGAGAAACATAATTATAATGACCAAAGTGTCAAGTTTCAGCATAAATCAATATGCAAACATCACAAATTCTTCTCTTCATTTTCAAAATGGCAGCATAGATTCCTCATGTGGTTGTTGGCACTAAAAGTACGAGTGGAAGTTGAGCACAAGAGGAAGTTGTTCTGCCTACGTCTTCAATGTAACAGCCTCCGTAAAAGACAGTGCCTGGGAGAAATGGCTGCCGGTGTGGGATGGGCAGGGGCCCTGTGAGGGAGCCACCCTTACTCCTCACTCTTACCCACATCCCATGAGGCTGCACCAGCATCTCACTGGCCGTCCTTTACCTGTTCCTCACCCTGTACAGGAGTCCCCCGTGATGAGCTGGGTCTATAGGGAAGACTGGGCAGCAGTGGCCAGTTCCGCCTTATCATTCTTCTTTTCCTTTGATAAAGGTCGCTTATGACCTTCGTTAGGAATACACTCAGGGGCCTTTTCACTGCAGCTGCCAGGCACGGTGTCTGAAAGGAGGGTCTTTAATGTCATTGGAAGGGAAACAGGGCCCGCGTATCTGTGTCCACACGGGGCAGTGCTGGAAGGGAGCGCAGAAGATAGGAAGGCTTATTGAGTGCCCTCCTGGGGCCAGTGCTGTGCTGGGGCGAGAACACCCCTCCCAGGTGAGAGGAGACCCAGGCTGTCATTGTAAA